CCTCTGAAAGGACATTTTTTTTGTGATAATATGCTGACCCTGATCTGTGAAAGACCCTCAGCGGAATGATCTAGAGTCCGTATCTCCTGACACCTGGACGGCAGGTTACTCTCTCTCCTGCTGGGCCCAGTCACACCATGGAAGCACCAAGTGAATGACATGCAACCCTCCCTGCTTCTCACCTTCCGGACCCGTCTTGTAATCTCTGTCTTGTAAAATTTCATATATATATAATTCAATAAACAAAGAACAGCAGAGCTGCTGCAGATTACATTCCCTGTGGAAATGACTCCCTGCACAGAATCAGTTCTTTACATTTCTCCTTTCAGATATTAATGTGGGACGGTAACATCTGGCAAGGCTTTCTGGTGCACAGTGAGCTCTCTGCAGGGGCCCCGTGATGCGTGTGGCTGTTTGTGAGGCTGTGGCTCCCTCTGCTGGAGGAAAGGGGACATAGTCCTTTGGGGTGGATCGCCGTAAGCTTCAACCACGCAAATATGCTCCTGCCAGGCTGATCTCCTAACCTGTGCTTGTAAACCTTAAAAACAAAGTGTCTGTCGTGCGAATGCAGGACACAAAGCGCCGTGTCAAGTGACATTTACGAGATACGCGAGCGTTTTGCTGGGAGCCGCGTTTACGCACCGAAGCTGTGAAGGGCCCATTGTGAGGGAAATGTCAGGCCTCCTCCTTCAACAATGGGCCGCAGAGATGAGTCACTGCAGACAATAACGTCAAAATATCGCAGTATCTGTTAGGACAGCGGATTATAAACAAATACACGACTTAACTCTGCGAAGAGCTGCAGCTTCTCCCGGCTTCAGCGAAGCGTCCAGCCAGCATGGCGGCTTTTCACGCTCCGGCTTTCGGTAACGGACTCGCCGAAACCCACACAGCCCTCATCTCGCTCTCTTGCTGTTATTCCCATTACTCTGCAGACCTGAGGGGGGTCGCCGCTTTCCCCAGCTTCCCATTTCCAGTAGCATAGCAGGTAAGAGGCTGTTCCCAGTCAGGTGAGCCTCTGTCCAGCCTCGGCGAGGCCCTGGATTCCTGCATCCTCCAGCTAAATAACAGGTCAATGCAGGACTTTGGTCCCTGAAGACCAGAAACCAGCATCGTCACATACTGAGCACTTACTGCACCTTGGTGTGACTGAAGCGTATTATACAGCTGTACTGTAGGCGTGCAGAGCGCCGTGTTCCAAAGTGAACACAAAATCCATCACACCAGGAGTACAGACTGAGAAGGCATGTTTTCTGGGAGCCAGATTAGGACGAGATCTTAGCTGAAGTTTTGTTCAGCCTTTCTGCTTCCAGAACAACCTTCCACAACTTGCTTTGACAACCCCATTCAGACAACCCCCCCCCCCGCCGATCCCAAGGAATATCCCAGGGCTCTCTGAGGCTATTGCTCTTGCGATGTAAATACCATCGATCTGCCAGGCAGTCCGCTGCACACTCAGCCCATCTCAATGCCTCGACTGGTGTTAAGGTCCAATGAATCAAATTCAGAATAATGAAGGGCAGGGACCTAATGCACAGGGGATGGACAGAGGATCGCAGGCAAGCCAGCAGGATCAGCCGGCTGCATCGATCCGTTAAAAATCTAGATTAAAACCCACAGTAAAAACGCCCTGACCGGAACTTAGCTCAGCCTGCATTTTATCATCGAACTGCTGCAGCCAGCGACAATTCTATGGTTTTTAAGATGGGAGGCATAAGAGGCCATAATTCATACATAGGGGCCAAACTCATTATTAAACAGTGAGTGGCAGGGGAGGGGCACTCCAAGGGCCAATCAGCTCTCAGCCATCACCAGTGCCATTATGGCCCCACCCCTGTATACACTCCTGGGCTCTGATTGGTGGAATGGACGTGGGTGGCCAAGAAATTAAAAAAATATCATTAACTAATGGTGAGGTCAGCCCTCAACCTTAAAAAGCTGCCTCTGGACTCAGACTCTGAACTTCATATCTGAGGGCACCATGCATAGCCGCTGAGCTACAGATCCCGTGGGGAGGACCTGGACAGCAACAACACAGGGCCGTCACTGGCCTGGGGGACCGCCGGGCCCGGGGCCACGACCCGGGGCCGTCACTGGCCTGGGGGACCGCCGGGCCCGGGGCCACGACCCGGGGCCGTCACTGGCCTGGGGGGACAGTTTTATATGCAATCAGCTCCTGTTCTCACCAACCATCAGGCAGGTATGCCTAGTACAGACATGAACATTGAATTCAGGGTGTTTCGCTAATGGTCTGAAGCACCTGCTCGGGGTCTAGGGGGGTATATTTATATTGCATTATTGCTTGGCAAACAGCTTCAGATTCCATGCCAACCACTCATTCTCAGCGCCCAGCAACCAAAACGTCCAGGTGCTCATGGGTTCAGGGTGAGATTATCATAAGGTCAGGAATTCTGCTGCCACCATTGGATGATACCTCTGGGCTCCACCTCCTTCTCTCCATCACCACGGCAACTTCTGCTGCTGCTGTAAGACGACACCTCCGGGGTCCATCTCCTCGGTGACTTCTGATGCTGCATTTGGATTACCCCTCTGGCTCCGCCTCATTCTGCTGCTGCCATTGGATGATACCTTCGGGTGACGCCATTGGGCTCCACCTCCTGAGTCATGTGATGAGGCGAGTACACGCCCCGTGGGCGTCAGCTGCACAGAAGGGCCCCCGTGCCATGGTGGGCTGCTGCTTGGGGGGCCCAAATGGCCAGCTAGCTGATACCCGGCCGGGCTCCAGGACCTGCTGACTGGCAGCTCAGCCATGTCTCTGACCAGGTCCCATCAGGGTAGTGATGACCCCCCTCCCTGGCGTGCTCCTGGAACACACCTCCCTTGATCCTGATTGGCTCTCCCATCCCAACAGAAAGAGGGCCTGAAAAGTAAATTTACTGAATTTACACAGAAATTGGCTTTCTGTGTGTCTGTGTGGTCTTTGCTGGTCTCTGCTAGCAGTGCAACGTCATGCTGTTGACGCTAAGCAGAGAGGTCAGGGGTTCACTCACTGCTTGGGGCCCCTGCAAGGAATCAGCGGCAATGTCTCATTCTGACAGGGACCGGAGGGGAGGGGGAGGCGGCGAGCAAGGCGGGGGCAATCAGTCAGCAGGGAAAGAATGATTAACGAATGAAAAAATAAATGAGGGAAGGGAATGAGGGGAAGAGACAGAGGAAGCAAGTGGGGGAGATGAAATCAGAGATGATGCGGGAAGGAGAGACAGATGGAGGGGAGATATGCAGAGAAACCAGTATGGTACAGAGAGACAGACAGGGAGCAGGAGAGCGATGGAGGGCAGAGCCACAGACAGCAGAGGTCCCACAAAGCAGAGATGCCTCTGTCCCTCATCGCAGAGCCTGTAAGCGTGTCACCTCGCTCTCGCCACTTTGCCATGGCACTTACCACCTCGGGGGCTGGTAAGCGGAGGTCAGAAAGTAGGGGCTCCCACACGCCTCCGCTCCCCAAGCAAGGTAGTGTGTGAGGTTGCGGGCATTCAGCCTACTGTGCCATTAAAAACAGCATCATGGCGGCTTCACAGTGCTCTGTGTTCGCTCTCACAGTGCTCTATGGCGGCTTCACAGTGCTCTGTGTCCGCTCTCACAGTGCTCTATGGCGGCTTCACAGTGCTCTGTGTCTGCTCTCACAGTGCTGTATGGCGGATTCACAGTGCTCTGTGTCCACTCTCACAGTGCTCTGTGTCCGCTCTCACAGTGCTGTATGGCGGCTTCACAGTGCTCTGTCTGCTCTCACTGTTAGCTGATGAACATGAGAACTTCAGCTTGCCCAGAAGCTGCCCAGAATTTTAAATAAAATTTTTATGAAGATAATAAAGAGGATTTGCAGGAAAGTATTAGTGACGGCAGTAATACCAGTTTATAGCTTTATATTCATGAAGAATCTGGAGGCTTTCATTTATATATGTAGAGTGAATACCAAGTTCAGCCCAGGCATCAGACAGCTCCGATGGACACAAACGCACCCCCGGGGAGCAGAGAGCGACTCCTCAGGCCGCTGTGTTACAGGCCTGTGCCTGACGCGGAAACAGCAGCCGGCGAATCACGCTGCAGGCGGCCCAGCGCCCAGCAGGGGCCGCTAGAGAGCCCACGCCAAGGCGACATCACTGCAGCAGATGGAGTCCGCGGAGGTGGAGTGTGTGATGGGGGAGGGACACTCCCCCCCAAACGGGAGGCCTGCTGGGACAGTGCTCTCTGCTAACAGGTAGCAACATGCTAGAAAAGACAGAGCAACGCTCAGGATAAAGGACTGGCACATGTAAACCCTCACAGAGCAGAGGAAACACAGGTCCGCCGAAGGCCTCTCATCATCGGCAAAGCTCAGCAAGCGAAGCAGCTGTGAGGGGCTCAGAGGAAACAAACAGAGAGAGAAGGGCGGCTGTCAGGGTGGGGCTTCTGAATAAGGGCCTTTCACACAACTCTGTGGCACTGTGCTCATGACGACAAATCAATACAGCAGCCGCTGCTGAGGCTGTACACTAACAGGCAGCTGCATGCTAACAGGTGGCTGAACGCTAAAGCACGGCCACACGCCAACACACGGCCACACGCCAACACACGGCCTGCACACCAACACACGGCCTGCACACCAACACACAGCTGCTCAGTCACTCCACCAGCGCTGACATGGAGCCACGTGCTAATTTGATTGTCTGTAAAAGGTATTTCTGGCCCAAAAACAAACCCAAACATGGCCAGGACTTTATTAACACAGCTGCGGGAGATCCACGCCCCTTTGTGATGCTACCTACCTGCTCCCCGCCGAGCCCCCACCCCCCAGCCTGTTGCATGACATTCAGCACATTAGCACTGTTTACAGCGCTTTCCTCACCTTACGCTGATTTTCAGCTGTGAAAGACGAGCCGTGGAATGCAACTGGGTTCAGTCTCCTTCAGGTTCCGTGAGCTCGGGTTCTAAAGGCAGGGCGCTGCCACAGCTCCCCAAAACCAACACCTCAGATACATCAGGCAATGACCACACTGGGCTTTCTTTTCTGTTTGTCTTTATTTTCCCACATAACTGACAAGCTCGCATGAGATACAGTTTTTAGATGCAGTGAAAGCAAATCACAGAGGTGCGACAGAGCGAGCCACACATGCACAAGACGGTGGCTGCTGGCTGCTGTGCCCTGGGACAAGAACCACTAGTGGCTGCGCAGACACAAGAACCAAGCCTGCGTTTTCACATTCACACACAATAACCAGCATGAGATCTGCTTACATGACAGAAGAGTGAAACAGACATTAGTGCACAATCACCATCCAATCAGCCTATTTCACACTCTATCAAAGGGGCAATCAGCCTATTTCACACTCTATCAAAGGGGCAATCAGCCTATTTCACACTCTATCAAAGGGGCATTTTTTACATTTATCACACTCTCTTGCTGAAATTGGTGCCTGATCAGACACAGACAGACATTCTCCAGCAGCAACAATCAAATCCTTTACTGCCTTTTCATCTTCTAGAAACTTCCAAAGGCCTTTGGCAGAAGGAACGGCTGGTAACTGTTTTTCACAATGTTATCAAAGCCATCAGACAGGTGATCCGGAGCTAAAGGGACACCCATGTGCATAAACACACACGCACACACGCACGCACGCACGCACGCACGCACACACGCACACACAGTATGAGCTGGAGGAATGGTGAGGGTTTGGGTAGGAGACAGGTCAAGTCCTCGAGCCTCCACAGCGAGAGTTTGCTGGTAGATTATTTTGTACAGACGGGGAATGATAACTTCCTCTTTACAGAAGAGTAACACAGAGCTTTAACCCATGAGGGAACAGGTCAGGATGCAGGTCAGGGGGATGAGTCCATTACTCAAAGATCATGATCGTCATCACTGCAGTCGTCGTGGTAACCAATCCTTCAGTTTTGATGCTGGCCTCACTTGCGGGGCTGAGTGGCAATGTAGAGCGCCATGAGGCAGTAGAGGGTGCCCCCTATGGTCAGGGCCATGGTGGTGCGATACAGCAGTTTGTCTGGGACCCCCATCTTCAGGTGCACGGGCATTCCCTCCCCCTGGTCATGTGAGGGAGAAAGTTCCACAGCTCAGAGGCACTTCACACACAAACAGCACTGCATGTGACTAACAAGACCTAAGTGTAGCTCTACTCATAAGCAAAAACTAGCGCCCCCCTAGAGGCTGCTCAATGGCGCCGGTTACCGCTGCTCTCCTGTACCTGAAAGATCTTCTGCAGATCAGGCACTCTGTTCGCTCCCAGATACTCAGCACCTCGGCCAACTTCTGATGTCACCTTAGTGGGCGTGGCAAAGACCATGGTAGGTGATTGGCTGGGGACAGCCGGCCTGAAGCCCTGCAGTAGGATAACCGCACAAGTCAGTAAGGGACACACGTACAAATAACCATTTAACTTGGAATTCTAGGTCACACACACACTTCCATTATTCGTTTTTCACGAAATCCACGTGCGTTCTGGATTCTGTCCACAGCTGATACAGTACAGAAGACCTGGGCACTGTCACATTTCGTTTGTGGTTGCTAATCCCCCTTTACGAACATGTCATCCACAAATGAATTCGAATACTAATTTGGCCCAGTTTGTGCGATGATGCTGCACGTCCATAAACCTTGTCGAGTGACTCCAAACACACACACAGTTACACTTTCAGAAGCCAATCATGAGAAATGAAAAACAACGTTTTCGGTGCAAATGTGCCCACAGGCAATGTTGCTATATTTATGCATAACCAGACAATCCCCTCAACTGTTCTCATCTGTGGCAAATATTTATAATCTATTGACTTAAGACCTTCATATTTTTTACATAGTGGTACATTCGGTGTATGAACGGTAACATAAATACCACGAAATATACGTAATGTAAAAATGTAAACGTCGGAAAGAATGTGACTGACTCCCGGCCCAAGGACAACTTACACCCCCGCCAGCCACCCTGAAATACTGACACGGACGAGGGGAAAGACTCGCATTATTCTACTAGTAGCACTTATACGAGAAAATAAAGAGGAGAAAAAACAAATATCAGTTTGCTTCCGGGTATCAACCAGTCAACCATAAGAATCAAATATTACTGTGATAACCCAGGTATGCGACACTCTCTCGTCACGTTATATGACAGTTAATATAAATCATCTGGACTATCGAAAAAGCAAAGACAAGATCAATATTGAGGTGTCGGACCAAACTTTTAAATAACTGCAAAAGTAAACCAACTCAACTGCAAAATAACTTCAATCAAAAAGTATGACTTTCACCTTATAGCCACAGAGACATAAACTTCATAATTATATCTTACTAATAAAGCACAATAGCAACAGCACAATAACACAAATAGTGAAATACCCAAAAAGAGGACATCCCGCAATCCGGATAGAAAGACAAGCAGGGTCGTTACAGAGTGGATACTGAAGGTCATCGCTATTTCAGATTGGCGCAAACGCGCAAACAGGACACTTCCCTTCGACTCACCTGGGGAGCATATGCGACTAATGGTGCCGAACCGGTCAACTTCTGAGTAAAACCGCTGAATTTGTAATACATCTTCCGCAAAAGAGTTTGTATCCGAAGAATCACACGGCAGCACCGAACTGCTCGCCGGGCAGAAAGGGTCCTCACTGAGCATTCGCTACCAGACAATGACGTAAGGAGGTGGCCATGTCGCGCCTGCTCTAAATTCCAAAAAAGAGTTCCCGAATTCCTGGGTGTTTCATGTATGTGTAATGGTTATAAAACACAGTATCTCAAAACCATGTTGTCAAACCTATTACTTATTTGACCTTCAGCCGTTGAACGTTAAACATGAGCTAGAGATCCAAATCAAGGAAAGAAAAGACAGAAAGGGTCCAAAAGGAGTCTGCTGTCCTATTTAACAGTCCATCTGGTTTCCTCACTGATGAAAACAAGATGCAGAACATGTGAAGAAGACAAGAAATGAAGAACAGTTTGTTATCATGGTCAACCTGCTCGTATTTGCCCACGCTCCGTATTTGTTTCGCCTCACTGCATCAACTCACAAATTCTTGTGTTGATTGTTCTTCTTGTATCTGATATCTTGGCCCCTGGGAGGTGAGATGTACAGCAGCATCTGTAGAACAGAACAATAACAGATAATTAGACATTCACAAAAGACATCAGGAAATATAACAATATCCATAACATCTAAATTAGTTTATAAACATAGTTCAAGAACCAGATAATATCATATTAACACTGAAAAAATGATTTAAAGTCAGTCAGCCAGTTCTAAATCAGGGACAGTTTGAATTTTTTGAAGTGGGGTCGTTAGGGCTGGGCATATGGCAAAATGAAACATGAAAATAAACTTCATTTGTTGTAGGGCTTAATACTAGAAAACGCTTACAGTTTTTTCTCAAACTGCCTCATTGTTCCAGGGAAAGGATTTAACTAGGGCTGGGCGATATGCCCTAAATAGTATATCACAATATTTTCACAATATTGATATTTATCACATTATTCTAAAATTCATATGCAGAAAACAATAGTGTTTTTGAGTTTTTCTGATGATAATGATCAAACTGATTTACTAATATAGTAATATAGTATAAATATGATAAATGATGCCAACAACAGGTTCATATCTTGATCAAATTTGTTGTAAAAATACATTATAACAGTTAATTATGCAAGTAAACAAGTGTTTAGGCTATATCACGATAATTACTATATTCATATCGATAATGATATGGATGTTCATAATCACGATAAAACATTTTATTTTACCTTGCAGAACACGGGAGTTGTTGGTCTAAGTACCTCATACAACTCCACTTCAAAAAAAATCCAAACTACGCCTTCATTACCCCTGCCGATAAATCAACTGAATGAATCAAGCATCAGACAGTTAGCAGGAACACCTAAAACAGAGCCCAAGTTACCTGCTGTAACCTAAGGCTGGTACAGAATCACAGCTGTTTGTCAGCCTGCTTGGATGAAGCAAAACACTAACCTTTCATTCATCGTTTTGTTCTTGTTGGAATCTCTGTATTCTCAGAACCATGGAGAATATGTTTCCTTTTAAATCGTTCCAGTTTTCCCTATGACATATGCGCCTAGTTTGGTGCGCGACAACAGCTTCTTGCATGATTCTTTGCGTAACTCAAGTGGGCCGTGATTGGACCACAAAACCGAACAGCTTTGGATAAAAGGAGTACTAGCCAATCACAGCACAGTGCGGGCAAAAAAAGACCGTGAACATTGTAGACAGGCAAGTTGGAATTTGTTAATAAAACATCTAGGCCCTTAATGTTAGTTAGGATAACAGACTGTTCTTTATTTCTTTTCTTCAAGTGTTCTTCACCTTGTTTTAATAAGCAAAGAAACAAGATCATTAACCATCATCTTAAATATAAAATGACATACATTGAGATGTATATTTTATAGACTGATATGTAAGAAAAACCATCTATATTGTAATGTATTGATTATTATAAAACACAAAGGGTCAAATAAACGGGAATTAAGTTGAAAGATAAATTCATTTTCAATAAAACCATATGTAATGTAATCATATGTAAAAATGCAGTAAAAATGTTTTTGTCTTCATTGCAATTCATTTTTATATGTATCAGTACTTAGTCAGACATGATCCGTGCATATATTGCAGTATATTGGAATATATAAGCACTAGTTTCTCATATAGGGAAATATATTATTTAATATGTTGCATTATATTTTCCAATATATTGCCATATTTTTTTTCATGATGTGTCCTTTTCACAGAGCCCGCTTGGGGTGAGCTGGGGCTCATTGGCCATTCAGAGCCACGTCCTTGACAGAGAGTGATTCTTGCCTCAGTACACAGCAGTGGGCCGAGGTCCATGTTTGCATTCTGCCTGTAGAGCTTGTCTTCCCTTGGGTTCACATGAATATTCAGTACAATTCGAATAAATGTTTGCCTGGCACTGCATTCTGCAGAGTTTGCCTGGCACTGCATTCTGCAGAGTCTGTCCAGCATCAGTTGTGCAAATTTTTTTATTATTATTATTTCTTTAACATTAGAATTTCGGTTGTTCAACATCTAACATAGCATGTTATTTTTACATTTTTACATTATTGTTACATAAACATTATTCATGGCCTCAATCAGCCGCCTTGGACCCGGCGCATGGCAGCCGGTGGGAGTGTCTAAACACGGTGTGTCTCTGCAAGTGGATGCACCTCTCCCACTGAGAAACTCTGCTGCTCACTCAGGGCTCCACTAACACTCTGTTCCCGTGAATGAGCCTCCTCCATGCTAACACCCACTCCCGCCGTTAACGGGGCCCAGCCGCCCCTCTCTGCTAATACTGCGCTACATGCTAACACCCACTCCCGTCGTGAATGTGGCCCAGCGCCCTCTATGCTAGTACTGCGCTACATGCTAACCCCCATTCCCGTTGTGAATGTGGCCCAGCGCCCTCTATGCTAGTACTGCGCTACATGCTAACACCCACTCCCGTTGTGAATGTGGCCCAGCCGGCCCTCTCTGCTAATACTGCGCTACATGCTAACACCCACTCCCGCCGTTAACATGGCCCAGCAGTTCTCTCTGGTTCCTTCTCCAGGTCGGACTCCTAACTTTTCACCCCTGTGCTGCACAGGTGGACTCCATGAATTCAAGACACTTTCAGCTTTTTGAGTTGAGGATCTCTGTTCTATTCTCATCCTATAAATCCTAACATCTCTGAAAATCCTGGGTGGGGTTTAATCACCTGAAAAAGCTCCTGGCAGGGGGGCGTGGACATCTACTCATCATTCCTGACACAACTGGAAAAAAAACACAAAGTCCTGCGGTAGCCTGACAGGTCCAGTATGAAGGTTTATTCCCAGTGGAAGTCCAACATCATCCAGTTGCACTGTTCACATAGCAGGAAGCAGCGGAACTCCAGTTCAGCTTATAACTTTTACACAGCGTTTTTCCATTTTAATTTTCAAAACTCATCATGCAATGAAGCACGGAGAATATATATTCTCCTCCAGGAATGTTCAGGAAGCGCTGTTATTTTTCACCTAGAGAGCAACCATAGTATTCAAGCTTGGTCTTTTGAAGATTAATTGCGTTCAATAACAATTTAGATGTTACTTTGGATATATTTATATATTTAAGTAATACTTTTAGAAAAATTATTAACAAAACTAGAAAACAACATGGCTTTCAAGCTGCTGTTGATGGATGACCTTGAGTGTCCTGAATGTGATCTTGTGACCCTGGATGACTGGTGGCACAGAGGTGACACCCCTCTGATGAACATCCGGCAAAAGTCATGTGACAAAAGCTGCTGGTGGACTGTCTACTGCAGGCAGAGACAGAGGGACGTGAGGAAGCGTCACATGCAGCCTTTCACCCCCATTTAGCTGCCTACTGCCCAGGAAGTTTGATGTTAGATATGTAAGTAAGTCAAACGGAGAGACAGTGTTGACATCACTGGGTGCAGTAGCTCTTCCTGGCAGCTAGGGGGCCTGGAAGTCTTCAGAGGAGGAAGGGGAGGCCAATGGAGCAGTGGTAGAGGTTTGAGGGAAGGAGGTGACATGGTCAGCGCTGACAGGGAGGGAAACTGCCCCCCGAGACTGAGGGAACTGAACCCCCGCCATGGCATGGCGGCAGTGGTGGGGTACCAGCCTGAGGGGGCAGCTGCCTCTCCTTATGGGCCCCTGTGACAGAAGAGAGGGGCCAAGGGCCGACCCATGGCATCACCTCCGGAGCCTCGATAGAAAGTCAGCTCATGGTGAACTGGGTAGTTCATGTCCATTGGCTAGCTGGCTGCCATCAATAAGCCAATCATCTACTGGAAAGAGTCTTACCTTCCAGACATAGAGCAGCTGTCACTGCAAAGGGCTCGATCAATAGAATCCCGGTGGCATTATGCAGGACACCGGGATGTACCTGTCATCACATCATGTTAGAACTTGCTGTCCTCACTCTGGACTGGATCAGAATATTATATCACTTTTGCTTTGATGCATCGGAACCTCTGGTACTTTGTTCGTCAATATCGTTCACCTGCACGAGGAAGCTTGAGAAATAATTACCGGTTCTTAATTACGTGTCCCTGACTTCCATGGACGTATATAAGCTAGGTACCCATGATCTAACAGCTTTTCCTATTGGTTACTCTCACCATGGGTACCTGTCATGCCCTTACAAAAACCCTGACATGCCCCTGTGGCCAGAATGCAGGAACAAATGTGTCAGAAGAGTCTTCTGGCCAAAGAAAGGAGGTGCACAATAGGGAGTTTCCCAGTTTGATGGGAGGTGAGTGCTGGAGAGGGGCTGACCCGTGCCACTCAGTTGAGGAACTCAGTGGAGAGGCTGCGGTGGTAACGAGCCGAGCGCAGCCGCAGCTCATGGTAGCACTGCACGAAGCTGTGGTAGATGAATGTGATGGGCAGTGCCAGCAGCACGATGCCGCTGACCACACAGAGGCCGCCCAGCATGCGCCCGGGCATGGTGATGGGGTACATGTCTCCATAGCCCACTGTGGTCATGGAGATAATAACCCACCAGCAGGCGGCCGGGATGCTGGCATAGTCCTCACTGCTGGGCACCAGGTCCAAGCCATGCTCCAGCAGCTGGGCTAGTGCACCAAAGATGGCCATGGCCACGCCCACAAACACCAGCAACATGACCATCTCACGGTAGCAGCGCCGCAGCGTCAGCCCAAGTGACTGCAGGCCCAGGAAGTGGCGTGCCAGCTTGATGAGCCAGAAGATACGCATCATGCGTAGGGCACGCAGCGTGACGCCGGCACGCTGCAGTTGCGAGCTCTCGCCTGTCACAGCTGCTGCCAGCGCTGAGGCATAGTATGGAGCGATGGCCAGCAGGTCAATGACGTTCAGTGGACGCCGCAGGAACTCGCACTTATCGCGGGACACCAGGAAGCGCACGATGCACTCAGCTGTGAACCAGCCGATGCACACAGCCTCGATGATCCTGTGGGCAGGAA